TTTATATATTAATATTATAATAAAAAATAAAAATAATATTTTTTATATGAATAAAAAATAAAAATAATATTTTAAATATTTATTTTTTTATATAATTTTTAATTAATAAAATTTTTTTCTACCTTTTCCTTAAAAGAAAAAAAAAATTTATAACTTTCTCTATTAATTTTTTTATATTAATTTTTTATCAAACATAATAAAATTCACAATTTAATAAAATTTTAACAAAATTTCACTACAAAATTTAATAACTTACAACATTTTCTACAATATTTTCTTAATAGCTTTATCAAGAAAAATTTTTAGAATAAAATAACCCTCTATCCAAACAATATTATGTCAAAGCTCTCTAACCAAACTGTGCCATGTCAAAGATCTCCAAGGAACGGACCCGTCTGTGCTGCCAAACCAATGTCTCGGCCATATCAATAACAGCCATTTATAAATGAAAGATAAGGAATGAAAAAAAATCCCAAAAAAAAAAAAAAATTATGCAGTAATGGTGGTCCATTCTATTTCTAGAATTATTAACAATGGTAAATGATTCACATACAATGTTTTTAGAATGATAATCTATAACCTAGATTCAGATGAATATAAATTAAATATGGTTTTCAAAATAATCCATTATAACTTTGGAAAATAATTTCGATAACGTAAAACTGTAGATCTTAGGTGAACATATAAGAATACTCATTTCTGCTTGTTCTCGGATGAATTTGAGTTCTGAGAGAACTTTGTGATCCATTTCTGCTTGTTCTTCTGAGATGCATTCCAATTTTCAGCAAATTCTGTTAGCCCTTGTCGCAATGCTCCAAGATTAACTCCATTCCCCACCAGTATGCTTGTCACTCCCATCTTAGAAACCTGCATCATTGTCACAAAATAATTTAACTGGTAAGATATAAGAACAATCACAATTGATATAATTTCATATTCACCCTCACAAGATTCAATTAACAACTTGATGAAGAGCCTTTCGTTAGCAAAAGATCTTGGCTACAGTATTAGGTAGAAGGTCATTTTACCGCTTGTATGTTCCTATTCTCGTCATCAAAAAAAAGCATTGAATTGTAGGGCACCCTAGTCCTTGAGTGAATCCTCTGGAAATGATCTGTCTTGTTAGTCCAACTGGGAAAGATCTCCTGACAAATTGAAAGAAGAATCATTTAATGTGACAGCCAGACCAAGGGAAGAATACTTTTACATCCTTATAAAACACAACTGCCAGGCAGCCAGATATACAACTGAAATAGCTGACAAGTTAGCCTCAAAAAGAATTTTGATCAGCAATGCAAGTCAACAGAAACCCAAAAGAAGTTACTTGATATATTTTTTTTTCTTTTGGTACATCTAATGTTGGACTATACAACTGGGGAATAGCCCTTTCCACCCATCTCAAGGTTCAAACGTAAGACCTCTAATAACTTGGAGTCTTAAGCTCTTAACAATTGAGACACCCTCTTGGAGGCAAAGTTAATCGATTGTTATGTTGAGTTATTATAGACAGAAAATGATGCCTTCATGAAAAGTTATGGAAATGATATCAATAACTATTTGGAAGATAGGAATGTTGCTGCAAGATCATGTCAATACTTAGTATGCCTTTTCCTGTTTTTAAATCCATACAAGTCGCTTATTATATTTATTATAAAACAAAATCAAGCGAAGAACAGTATTTTGAGCAACATTATCCTAAACCAGCTGGCTGTAATGAAGCTCTTTACAACTAGAGAAATTTTACCATATGTACTGGCCTCCTGATATTTCTGTATGCATAATATGTTCTCCAATAGAAAAAAAGGGAAAATGGAAATTGATTACTGCACCTTGGCAACAAACATGGACTTGATGCTCAATTTGTCAACAAAGGTGTTTGCTATATCTGCAGTCGGAGATCTGGAAGCAACAGCTATATCAATCCCCTTGTCCTTGAGTGCGTGTAATATGCCTTTAGCATGTGGATACATAGATGGCATCTCACGTTTAGAGCGACATTCACTGGAAAACAACAGCATGTGACAAAGAAAACAAAACAAGAAATACGATTCTGCTCAAAGTATCACTTTTCATCCCCATATCTGCAGGTGCAATTAACATAAGAACATATAGATTGCTGCTAAAGGCAAGATGCAATAAAATATGTAAAATTGCACAATCTCTATGCTGTAAAATTACTTCTATGGTTCTACCTTGAACCCTGAAAATTCTCAGCAAGCAATAATTGAAGCAAAATTAAAAAAGCCCAAATGAACCTTTTCCAACAATAAGAATGTAACCAGTTTTCCAAAGAAAAAAAAAGTTCATTCCTTTTTGGATTTTCACCTTAAACCCTAATCCGATTTCTGCCAAAAAAAAACCCCACAATTCGAGACTAAAATATAAAACGAAGGAAGTAGAGGAGAGAAAGAAACCAGTAGAAAGGCCAGAGAGTGTAATCCAAGTCGAAGACGACCAAACGAGGGAGCACTTGGAACATTCCCAGTATCTGCATCGCCTCCTCTTTCACTTTCTCTTCTCCCATCTCTCCTCCAACACCAAAACCTCTCCCTTTTCTCTCAGTTCTGCAATTGGGATGGAGATGGTGAGAGGCCGTTAAAACTCGGAAGGTTGCGCAAGCTAAGCCTCCTGCTATGCCGCAGCCCGCCCACTCCCACCACTGTAAACGCAGCCTGTACGTCTTCTTTTAGGAATAGTTATAGCCTATAGGATTGACCCCTCAGCAAAATTGTTTGTGTCAATCGAATACCCACATTAATTTTCATACTAAAGACACCCTTCAGAGTATTTGGTATCAAATAAGTTTCACTGTTGGCAAAAAAAGAAAAAGAAAAAGAAACTATTCTATATTGTGAATTTTTCCTATTGGTGGATGTTCACCTTTCACATTCATCTTTTTCCATGTTGTAACTCTTTACAATTAAGGGGTCATTCCTCACCATTAAAGGGTCATTCATGATCCCATTAAAGGCCATTCAAGGGATCATTAAGGTATCATTCAAGAGTCCTCTAAGGTGCCATTCATTTTCTCATTTAATCATATTCAATGGCTAATGCAATCCCCCTATGTCCCTTAACCTATATATAGACCCACAAATTTGTATAATTTGTACATGAAAGAGCATATGGTGAAATAAGAAACTCTCTCTTTTGTTTGTCGTCTTACTACTCTATCTTTTATTTTATATTATGTTATTAGCATGATTGTCTTCACCATTCAATTTGTGGCAAGGTCTTATGGTAATCCTTTGTTTTCTAATTTCAATTTTATTTTGATATCTAACGAATTTGCAACCACAATGTCAAACTTGATAAAACTTGAATTTGCCGCTCTTGATAAAACGGGTTCAAATTATTTGCTATGGATACTTGATGTTGAAATCCATTTGGTTGCGAATAATCTTGGTTAAACAATTGTTGAGGAAAATCAAGCCTTCTTACAATATTGCATTAAAACGCTAATACTCCTTCGTCATCATCTCCATTAAGGATTAAAGGCTGAATATTTGACAATCAAAGATCCATTTGAATTATGGCAGAATTAAAAAAAAAAAAAAGATATGATCACCAAAAATTGATACTACTACCAAAAACTTGTTATGAATGGATGCATCTATGATTGCAAGATTTTAAATCTATAAGTGAGTACAACTCTGCAGTATTTCGCATTTCATCTTAATTAAAATTGTGCAGAGAAAAAATTACTGATGAAGACATGTTGGAGAAAACATTCTCCACTTTTCATGCCTTGAATTTGCTTCTTCAGCAACAATATTGAGAACGTGGCTTTAAAAAAATTCAAATTTGATATCATGTTTTTTGTTGCTAAACAAAATAATGAACTTTTGATGAAAAATCATTAGTTACGGCCAATTAGTTCAACCCTATTACCTGAGACAAATGCAACCTCATATAATAATAATAAGCATGGTCGTGGCCATTACCGTGGTTGTAATCATGGCAATAACCATGGCTGAGGGCATGCCTATGGTCAAAATAATACTTAGCATCATAGTGGTTTCAACTTCAAATATGAATTGGCTGAATAAAAGAATGTAAGGGGTAGAAATTTACAAAAGAACCCTACAAAAGTGTTTCAAAATTTTTGTTATCGATGTGACGCAAAAGAACATTGGGAGCGTGCTTGTCGCACTGTTAGGCATATGATTGATCTTTACTACGCCTCACTTAATGAAAAGGAAAAGGGAAAAGGAAAAGATCCAGAAATGAATTTCATTGAGTATAATAATGTGGATCTTGATACACACCTTGATATTGCTATTTTTTCGAGAGTGTTGAAAAGCTTAATGGTGTTGGTGATACCCAACTAAAAGTTTGAGTTATTATGTCCCCTTAAATAATTTGCCCTAAGTGGTTATTTCTCTTTTTCTATATGTAATGTCCTTTTTATATTCAATAAAAGAATAATTATTTTCAAAAAATTAATTATTTTCAAAAAATGTATATATATATTGAATGTTTGTCTCTTTGGTTTCATTAATCTCTTTTGTTTTATTTGTTGTTATTTAAGTCCAAATGGACTTGGATGATGCTAAGATCAATGATGGAGAACTACGTCTTTTTGATAATGGCACAACACATACCGTCTTGAGAAATAATAATAAGTTTCTCAATTAAAGTTAGCTGAGGCTAATGTTCATACAATATTTGGTATGACAAAGTTGATTGAAGGCTCGAAAAAACTTGTATTTTAATGCCTAAAGGAATAAAATTATTAATACACGATGCTCTATATTCTAGTAGATGAAATCGAAATCTACTAAGTTTTAAGGATATATGTCGTAATGGTTTCCATAATGAAACCATGGATGAGAATGGAATAGAATTCCTCCATGTCACAACTTTTGCATTTGGAAAAAAGAAAATATTGGAGAAAATGTTAACATTCTCTTTTGGATTATATTATACATATGTATATCCAATAGAATCTCTTTTGGATTATATTATACATATGTATATCCAATAGAATCCAATGCTGTGACTAATTAGAAAATAGTTAATCTAGATGTCTTTATTTTTTGACATAATCGACTTGGTCATTCGGGTGCTATTATGATGTAGAGAATTATAAAAAGTTCACATGTATACCGTTAAAGAACTTGAAAGTTCTATTATCAAGTGATTTTTCGTGTATTGCCTACTCCTTTGGTAAATAATTACCAAGCCTTCTGCAACTAACTAGAAATGAATCTCCTCCATTTTTGGAATGGATTCAAAGAGATATTTATGGACTTATAAATCTGCTATCTGGACCATTTCGATATTTTATGGTGTTGATAGATGCTTCAACAAGATGGTCACTTGTTTCTATTGTCTACACGCAATATTGTGTTTGCAAGGCTGCTTACACAAATAATAAAATTGATGGCACAATTTTCTGATTATATAATAAAAAGGATTTGACTTGATAATGCAAGAGAATTTATATCTCAATCATTTAATGATTATTGTATGTCAATTAGCATTACTGTTGAGTGTCTAGTTCCTTATATGCATACACAAAATGGTCTAACTGAATCTCTTATTAAACTTCTGCAATTAATAGTAAGACTGCTGCTTATGAGATCAAAGTTACCCTCTTCTGTTTGCGGTCATGCTATATTACATGCTATAGCATTAATTCGATTAAGGCCAACTGGCAACTGCTTATAATCAGCATTCACCATTACAACTTGTTTTTGGGATTGAACCAAATATATTCCATTTAAAGGTTTTTGGTTGTGTTGTATATGTTCCTATTGCTCCTACACAGTGCACTAAATAGGAATTTATACTGGTTTTGAATCACAATCTATAATTAAATATCTTAAATCAATGACTGGTGATCTCTTCACAGCAAGATTTGCTGATTATCATTTTGATAAAAATTTGTTCCCAACATCAGGGGGAGAGGAACAAAAGTTGAAAAAATAGGAATTCATTTGGGATGAATTATCTATATCTCATTTAGACCCTCAAATAGGTCAAAGTGAACTAGAAGTTCAGAAAATTATTCAATTGTAAAAAATTGCAAATCAATTGCTTGATGTAAAGAAAGTAACTGGTTCACACATCCCAGTTTTGAATGCTCCTACTCAAATTAATATTCTTGTTGAAAAGGTACTAAGATAGTAGCAAATGAATCTACTATATGCCAAAAGCATGGAAACCTGAACTGAAAGCAAAATGCTAGCTCCATTGAAATTGTAGGGACTTAGGAGTTCTCTAAACAACAGTGAGAAGATGCATCTAAAGAAATAATTACAGAAAAGATTCAAGTTCTTGAAAATAATGAAGATGTAGAAATTGTAGATAATGATAATATCTCAATATATTATATTTCCACTTGAATAAAGTGGAATCGAAATGATGTTTCGTCGACAATGTTTTTGCATTTGCAATAACAAATGATAGTCAATGCAAATGGGGATCTTGAGCCAAAATCCATTGAAGAATGTCGACAAAGAAGTGATTGGCTAAAATGGAGAGATGCAATTAAGACAGAATTGAAATCATTAGAAAAACGCTAAGTTTTTAGACCAATTGTCCAAACACCTAATTATATAAAGCTTGTCAGTTATAAATGAGTGTTTGTGAGAAAATGAAATGAGAAAAATGAGATTGTGAGATACAAAGCTAGACTAGTAGCTCAAGGCTTTACACAAATACCTAGCATTGATTATGAGGACACATATTCTCTTGTGATGGATGCAATTACATTCAGGTTTCTAACAAGTTTAACAGCATCTGAAGGACTTCAAATAAACCTCATGGATGTTGTAACTACTTACTTATACGAATCACTTGATAGTGACATTTATATGAAAGTCTCTATTGGACTTAAAATGCCTGAAGCATACAACTCAATGTTAAAGAGATATTTTCAATAAAATTAAAATGATCTTTGTATGGGTTGAAACAATTAGGGCGAATGTGGTATAATTGCTTAAGTGAATATATCTTAAAATGAAGGATATGAAAATAATTTTATTAGCCCATTTGTTTTTACCAAGAGATCAAAATCTAGTTTTGCTATTATTACTATATATGTTGATGATATAAATATCATTGGGACACCTAAAGAGCTTGAAAAGGCAGTTGAATGTTTAAAGAAAGAATTGGAGATGAATGATCTCCGAGTAATAAAATTCTATCTCGATCTAGCAATCAAGCACTTATCAAATGGAATTTTTGTCCATCTAGGGGTGGGCAATTTTCAGTCAATCGACCAAAAACCGAGGAACCGACCGATAGTTGCGGGTATTTTACCGAATTTTTGGGTGTGGGTTTTTTGGGGCGGTTTCGGATTAAAAACCGAAGGGCAATCGGGCGGGCTTTGGTTTGAAAGCCCAAAAACCGAAACCCGATGAGAGCCTCCTGTTGACCCAAAAAACCAAGGCCCAAAAAAACTATTTTCATTTTTTGGACCCATTTTCTCATTGATGCCTTGATGGGACTAGCCACTGCCACTAGCAGTGACAGTGGCAAGGCAGTGGCAGTGGCTAGGTGGGAGACTTTTTGGGTTTGAGCGAGATAAATTCCCTCCAAAGGTTAAAAAAAAAATATTTATTTCTTATTATAACTTAAAATATCATTTTATTTCCCTCTATAACTTAAAATATCCTTTTATTTCCCTCCAAATCAATTCTTTATTTATTTTTTTGTTATTTTCTTAAAAAATTATGTAACCTAAATTAATCCTAACTATAAAAGGTTAAACCTAACCAAATTAATTCATTTTACATACATCTCATATCACCATCTCATTCTTTGCTCTGGTTCCTTCCCCAACAGCACGCGCACCACCACCATTCACCAGAATCAGCAAGGCACCAACCATGACCACCACAAGGTCCACAACCATACTCAAGCCCCAGCAACCTCCTTAAATCTTAACCCTTTGTTTCTCCTTTATTTCATTTATTCCCTCTGTCTCACTATGCTCCTATTCGGCTATTCCTTCTCCTTGCTAATTTCTCTCCTTGCTAATTATTGATTATTATTGTATACTAATTACTAACCTTGTTTATTTATATTTATCATACAGATAAACCAGACTATAGATATGGTCTTCTCTTTTGGTATATCATTGATAAAGGTTTTGGAGCTACTTTCTTTTTGTATCTAAAGCCATCTTGCTTTGATGTTGCTACACTGCGCTGCACTGTACTGCATTGCCATTCTACTGTTGTTGCAAGTTTGGGAAATTGGAAATACATGCTGCATCTCGTCTTCGGTTTTTTGTGGAGAAAGGATGTTGGATGCCCACTACGCTACTAACTACACATCACTTTTGTTTTTTTGTATAGCATCTACATTCTCTTTAATGGTGAAATTCTATAACTGTAAATGACTATTTGAAGTCTTCATAACTTCAAGTATGGTAGAACATGAACAACTCTTATGGTAGTTATAAATATTATGATATTTTCTATTATTAATGTGTGCTTTTCTTTTTATGCTATTCATTCAAGCTTATTATGAATTTATTAATAATGTTTTATTGTTTTTTATGGGATTTGAAAAATTATTTGATATTTGCATTGTAATTTGGTTAAGTTATGAATTTTCTACCCTTTCACTTTAATTTCGGTGTCCACCGAAACCAAAAATAATAATACCGAAAAAAATGATGCCGAACCGACACAACCGACACTAATTCAGTTCGGTAATTGGTTTTCATTTTTTGTCAACCAAAAATTCGGTTAACCAATCATAATACTCGGTTCGGTCACCGAATCGACCGATGCCCACCCCTATGTCCATCACCTAAATTATGTTGAAAAGATATTGACGACATTCAATATGGACAAATCTCATCATTTAAGCTCTTCAATGGTTGTTCAATCCCTTGATGTAAAGAAAGATCCTTTTCGACCTCGTGAAGATAATGAAGAAATTCTTGGTTATGAAGTACCATATTTAAATGCCATAGTTGCACTCATGTATTTAGCAAACAATACGTGACTTGATATCGCATTTTTGTGAATTTGTTAGCAAGATATAGTTCTATACCAACACAAAGACATTAGAATGACATTAAACATTTATTTCGTTATCTTTAAGGAACAAAAGACATGGGATTATTTTACTCAAAGCACTCAAAACCAAAGTTAATTGGACATGAGAGGCTAGATATTTGTTTGATCCACTTAAAGGGAGATCACAAACTAGATATTTGTTCACATATGGTAGTATTGTAATTTCTTAGCGTTCAATCAAACAGATTGTTGTTGCCACATCCTCAAATCAATCAGAATTGAGTGCTCTATATAAGGTCAGTCAGGAATGTATATGGTTAAGATCTTTGATTCAATATGTTCAAGAAACATGTGGTCTTAAAGCAATTACAAGAAATCTAACTTTATTATATGAGGACAATAATACATGCATTGCACAAATAAAGGAAGGATTCATCAAAAGAGATAGAACCAAATATATTTCTCCAAATTTTTTCTGTACACATTATGGAGGGTTGAATTTGCATTACTTTAAAATTGATGGCATGTATGGCTCCACATTAGCAACGACACACGTGGTTTGTTCTTCTACCATTAGCCATGTTATTTTCCACTGATAATTGCAAGGTAGCCAGCTTCGCCAAAAGCGATACTCAACATCATTCTTTCATGCATCACTGAGAACAACATTTTTCTGATTTGTTGGAAATGACGTAGATGCATCTTGCCTTAATGGCATTTTCCTCTACATGGCCAGACATGGCTATACTATCCTCGCAATATGGCTAGACACTTTTGACAGCCATGAATTCTACTGCTATGCTCACTGCCACAATTGTCTCCCAACAATGGATGAAGAGCCTATCTTACTATAAACACATGGTTAGACACTTCTCACTAGTCATGGTCTCTTGTAGTGATGCTCATCGCCACACCCTTTGGCTCCTAGCAATGAATAAATAGCCTACTTCGCTACATATACATGGCTTCAATCAGTGGACAACAGGCTACATCCACAGCTCCCAACAATAGACAAAGGGCCAGATTTACTATCTTATTTAGCTTCTAACAATGGGAAAAGGCTAACCACCTCTGCATATCTTATCTCATTAGCTTTTGGAAATGGACAAAGAGTCAACGCAACTTGGTACAATTAACGTGAGGTGGTAACAGTTGCAACCCCACAATTGGATGGGATGGCTACTCTTCAGTGATAAAAATCCATCAAGTAGCGACCGGTGGTCCCTTGATGGTCACCCGTGCATGGTGGTGTGGTGCCTGGCGAGCAGCAACAACCAGGACCACCTTTTTATGATGTGGGTACAACAAGAAAGGCCAACGTTTATTAGTGGTATCACACCTTGTTGTATGAAGGGCCATGGATGCAGCTAGCATCCCCCCATTCATGAAGACAACTCCACTTATCTTCATCAAATCTCCATCGCTATGGCGGAATCTGACTTGATGAGCTTTACCCCTGAGTGACTTAACGGTTAACGGGAATACTCTTCCAATTTCACATAGTTCACACTCCAGCCATGAACAAAACTAGCCACTATTGTTCCTCTGGCTGTGGGAAAATTATTTATGGCTGACCCTATGATGCTTATATAACATGGCCGGTGATCATGCACATCATTGTTTTTCTATACAAAGGGACAAAATTACCGGTTGCCGGTAATCCTGACTGGTAATATACTTCTTCTATATTTCATGTGTTTGTAGGTATCGCCGACTACTAGTACTTGGCTCGAAACAATGACATCACAACACACATCAATGTTGCTCACTCTCTTTATATTGGTGCAATGCCAACCATGTACAGCCATACTATATAAATACCCATCGTGGTCACGAGACAAAAAGAGTACAGCCATGATTATCTTCATCATCTCCTTCAATGCACAAGAGAGTATCTTTCTTCACTACACACTTTTATGCATTTTACACTTGAACATCCAAATGAGTGCTGATCAATACTATATCTTCGCTACAGGTAGGCACGAACCCATGAATCCAAGCTCATGGGAAATATTCGGGATAAACCCTGGTAGTAGTGGCTTGGTAGACATGGATGGGTGGGCATTGCCCATCTAGCGAAGCAAGGTAGTTGTGCCAGTAAAGTTTGGCACTAGCGATGTTGCCCAACTTTGCCAAAAAAGGCTGGGTGGCGAAGACATGAGAGTGAACTTGATTCTTGAAACATTACCTTCTAATGCTAACCAAGAACTTGAAATCTCGTGGAAAATCAACCAAAAGATGCTATTTGAGTCTCCGTCAACCATCAGCACTATATTCAATGACAAATTACAATTGTGTTGGAAATGGCCAAGAAAGATTACTATTGCTTAAAGATCTTCCAATAATCTTGCACAGACCCTAAGAACTTTACTAAGATCTTGCACAGATGTTGTTTTGCCGGTTGCACTCAAGTAGTTGTCCAGAAAATGAATTTCATATGGCTGGATAGTTACTGAAAATAAGTGCTTAAGGGGTCATTCCTCACCATTAAAGGGTCATTCATGATCCCACTAAAAGCCATTCAAAGGGTCATTAAAGTGTCATTTAAAAGTCCATTAAGGTGCCATTCAAAAGTCTATTAAGGTGCCATTCAAAAGTCCATTAAGGTGCCATTCAAAAGTCCATTAAGGTGTCATTCATTCTTTCATTTAATCCTATTCAATGGCTAATGTAACCCCCCTATGTCCCTTAACCTATATATAAGCCTACAAATTTGTATGATTTGTACATAAAAGAGCACATGGTGAAATTAGAAACTCTCTCTTTTGTTTGTCATCTTGCTACTCTACCTTTTATTTTATAATAATATTCTACTTATAATATGTTTGGGTAGAGGAAAATGAAAGGGGGGAAAAGATTTTTTTAATCAATTAAATTATAATATTTAAAATATTATAATTTAATCAATAAAATTTTTTTTCCTTCCCTCTCCTTTATTTCTTTTAATCCAAACATATAGTTAATCTTTAACTCTGTTATTCCAATGGTCCACCTAATTTGATAGA